ACTGGACCCATAAGCAACATCATGATAAACGGAGAAAAGATTGAAGTTGTCAAAGATTTCATTTTACTTGGATCCACAATCAACACCCATGGAAGCAACAGTCAAGAAATCAAATGATACATTGCACTGGGCAAATCTGCTGCAAAAGACCTCTTTAAAGTGTTGAAAAGCAAAGATGTCACCTTGAAGACTAAGGTATGCCTGATGCAAGCCATGGTGTTTTCAGTCGCCTCATATGCATGTGAAAGCTGGACAATGAATAAGGAAGACAGAAGAAGAACTGACACCTTTGAATTACGGTGTTGGTGAAGAATATTGAATATACCATGGACTGCCAAAAGAATGAACAAATCCATCTTGGAAGAAGTTCAGCCAGAATGCTCCTTAGAAGCAAGTTTGGCGAGACTATGTCTCACATACTTAGGACATGCTATCAGCAGGAACCAGTCCCTGGAGAAGGACATCATGCTTGGTAAAGTAGAGGATCAGCAAAATGAGGAAAACCCTCAACGAGATGGAGTGACACAGTGACTGCAACAATGGGCTCAAGCATAGCAACGATTGTGAGGATGGCACAGGACCGTGCAGTGTTTCATTCTGTTGTACAAAGGGTTGCTATGAGTCAGAACCGACTCTACGGCACCTAACAACAATATATACGTGCATATGCACATACACACACAAACACACATGTTCATCTATAAACATACCCATGCATATATACATACACATACATATATATAGACATACACACATTATAGATACAAAGGTACGCACGTATACACACACACACATATTTGATAATACGCACATATAAACATACATACATATGCAACACACACACACTTGGCTTTCCTTCATTCTTAACAGGAACTCTTCGCCACGGCATGTTTCCCCCTGATGACAGACTCACTCAGCCTGTGGGTGTCGCACACCTGCCTTGTGCCCTGTGCCGATGCCACGGATTCTCAGCCTGGCTGTCCAGTTTGTAGGGAGGGTGGGGGGACAGGAGCTTCAAGTGGGACCTGCCCCAGCTCCCCAGTCTCTGAGCAGAAGGACTGAGTACCCCATGTGGGCAGAAGGGCTGCAAGAGAGGGACGTATGAGGGAGGCATGGAAGCTGATGAGCTGGGTGGGAGGATACCAGCAGGGAGAGGGACCCGCAAGAACAGAAGCAAGGCCTGAAGGGGCACACAGCAACCAGACAGCCTGTGGCATCCAGACACGCCACTCAAGACCCCGTTGAGACCCACCCCCACCCACAGAGGCACAGTGCCCGGCCTTCTGAAGTTACAATGTGGCTCTCAGAACTCAACAACACAACAGTCCTTTGACAACAATTAGAAACATAACAAAGTGCTGGCATTCTGTATAATGGTGGTTGGGACTGGTGTGGACTTTGATGCTATTTTTTGACATGATGGGCTGGGGTGTAGATGTGCCCCAATCCTGCCCACCTGCGGGGCAACTGGGAATATGAGGAACATCAGGGCTAGGAGCACTGCAAAGCACCCCTAAAGCCACACAGCCTGAACCTATAAAGGCTGGAGGCCTCCTGTCAACATGAGATGCCTGAGGACGGTGGGGTCGGGGCGGGGGAGAGGTGAGCAGGCCAGTTAGGGGCCAATGCATTGGACAGGTGACATTCGCCTTTTATGTGCAGCCACTTGACCCTATTTTGGACATATAAGTGAAGCAATACTCTAGTTGGCCACCCATCTATCCTGCCCCTAGGAACACCATGGTCTATTAGCCACCACTATAGACACCCATGGGTCTGGGCCTCCTGGATGCCATTCCAAACTTACTACCCATTTCAGTTATTATGTCCACCTTGCCTCCGGTGGAGTCCCTGGGTGGTGCAAATGGTTAACGCACTCAGCTGCTAACTGAAAAGTTGGGAGGTTTGAGTCTATCCAGAGGCACCTCTGAAGAAAGGCCTGGTGATCTCCTGCCAAAAACTCAGCCGTTGAAAACCCTACAGAGCTCAGTTCTACGCTGACAGACACGGTCGCCATAAGTCAGGGTAGACTTGACAGCAACTAGTTGGTTGGTTTCCCTCCGATGGTTAAGTCCACATCTGTCCACTGCCACGCCAGGATCCTGTCATTCTCCCTTTAGATGAGGGAGTCCAATTCCAGAACAGCATGTCCAATGTCAGCACAGGTATGCAAAGAACAGCCACTACTGACCTTCTCAGTGGTGTGGTGCCCCCTCCCCAGCACATTCCTTATCTGTTTAGCGAAGGGAGTATCTGTTCTCTCGGCCCCTCCCAAGAAACATAGCCAGCAGTGGGTTCTTGGGAATAAAACAGCTATTTTCTCCAGGCCTTTCGATATCTTCCTCAACACTCTGCCAAGGAAGTCCTGGCAACTCCAAACTCATTGACTGTGGGCCATTGTTATGTCCACGCTTCCGGGAACTGCCCCAGAAGAGTATTAGGACCAGCTCCAGAGCCCTTGCCCGGGCATTACATGCAGGGACACAGGAGTATGCGTGCTCCTATATCAATAAACTCTCCCTTCCCCAGCCTAATACCCCACACACCCAGTCTATCACCTTTAAGATCCATTCACAGGTACACCCAGTTCCTGCTGGTACATATTAGCCAGGCCTTACAGCTCCTTGAGGAACCCTGGTGGTGCAGTAGTTAAAGTGCTTGGCTGTTAACCAAAAGGTCAGTGGTTCGAACCCACCAGCTGCTCCGTGGAAGGAAGATGTGACATTACAAACATTACAGCCTTGGAAACCCTACGGGGCAGTTCTACTATATCCTATAGGATTACTGTGAGTTGGAATCAACAGCATACAACACCACCATATAGGTCTAATGGCCAGAAGGGGCAATGGGGGCAGATCTTGGGGGGGATGGGAAATACTGACTTAACAGATATCTGCCTCAATAAGCCCTCTGCATAGTGTTCAGGCAAGGTGAGGGGCGAAGTTGTTACCTTTAGCAAGGAACAGTGGGCCACTTCTGCAGGCCCAGAGGGTTGGGGGCAGACTGGGGAACAGGGTTCCCAGCACACCACCAGATACCCCCAATCCAAGCAGGAGAGTCTCTCTCCTTCCACACCAGGGCCCTGACTGGAGTATGGGAGCTCACAGGGCTGAAACTACAGCCTTCTCTGGCATCCTGCTGTGGTCACACCCAGGGCCTGGGCCTGGCCTTCAGCCTGCCCTTGGCTGCAGGAAATGAGGGTCTCTTTAGATCCTGGCAGGGAGGGCTTCTGTCACTCTACCTTAGGCTGATATTCGCTGACCTGAAACTGTCATTTTCCCTCATCATGGCGTTGACTGTACTCAGCAAAACAACCATTCCACAGTCCCGACAGTGACCAGTTCTGTATATCTCAAGTGCTCAGGATACCACGTGAGCTGGAGCGCCCCCTCCCACCTAGTCTCCCGGGGGGTCCCAGCCAGGGGTCCCCACCACTCACCACCCACAAGGGGGTCCCTGTGGCTCTCTGATGAGGGATCCAACCCCTGAATCCCACCTGTAGACTCCACTTGCTAGAACCACATTCAAAGCCATCAGTCTTAGGGTGGGTTCCCAAGAAGCCAACCTTGAAACAAGGACTTGTGTGCAAGTGATCTATTAAGGAAGTGCTCCCAGGGGGTGTCAGAGTGAGAGAAGTGGGACAGGTAACGAGAGGAAGCCAAGTAAGGGCGTGAGCTTAAATAAAGTCCTGCAAGGAGTGTTTCACCCTGATTCCACCAGGAAACTATGGAGTGTAATTAACACCTCAGAGCCACCCTGACCAGAAGCAGGAGAGCTTGGCTTGAATGCTCCTCCCGCCCATCTTTCATTGCTCGATAGCCCCCAAAGGAAAAGGCCCTTCTCAGGCACTTCCAGCTCTCAGTGCAGGGAGGTAAAAGTGGCTCCTGCAGCGCAAACTTGGGTCTTCTTCAAAGAAGAGTTGAAGATCATGACTGTTGTAGGTGGAAGCTGAGGGGTAGAAGGACACAACAATGGTAAAAAGGGGTCTCAGAGGATCTGGCTGGTTGAATCTTAATAGAATCAAGGAATCTCAGGGCAGGAAGGTGCCTCCAGGCCTCATGACTCCCCTCTACGTGGGCATCCAGATGTGCTTTTTAAAACATCCAATGACGGCGACCTCAGTCCTGTACTCCACTCTGTCGTTGAACTGAATTGTTAGAAATCTCATCCTTACAAGATGTCAAGACTGGTGTCTCAAGTGTCTACCCTCTGGTCTGCATTCCTCCCACAAAGGTTTTATTGAATAAGTCCATTTCCTGACTAAGGTGCACCTGACCCTTATGGTGTTCATGAAGAATATTGAATATACCATGGACTGCCAGAAGAATGAACAAATCTGTCTTAGAAGAAGACAGCCAGAATGCTCCTCAGAAGCAAGGATGGTGAGACTTCATCTCACTTGCTTTGGACATGTTATCAGGAGGGACCAGTCCCTGGAGAAGGACATCATGCTTGGTAAAGCAGAGGGTCAGTGAAAAAGAGGAAGACCCTCAACGAGATGGATTGACGCAGTGGCTGCAACCATGGGTTCAAACATAGCAACGATTGTGAGGATGGCCCAGGACCAGGCAGTGTTTCATTCTGTCATACACTGGATCGCTACGAGTCAGAGCCAGCTCAATGGCACCTAACAACAACATTCCCTGGCTAAGGACCTCAGGCTGGCAGGCAGGTTCTGGGGTGAGATGCACTAGATGTGAGCCTGAATAATAAAGCCCCATGTTCAAGAACAACTAGTGAGCCCTGGTAGTGCAGTGGTTAAGTGCTGGGCTGCTAACCAAAAGGTCAGTGGTTCAAACCCACCAGCTGCTCTGTGGGAGAAAGATGTGGCAGTCTGCTTCTGTAACAATCACAGCTTTGGAAATACTATAGGGCAATTCTATTCTGCCCCATGGGGTTGCTATGCATCAGAATTTACTCAACGGCAACACAATTCTAGACCTAGGAAAACTTTCCTTAGAAACTCACCCAATCCAGAGGTGAAAACACAAAGGCAGGACAACGCAGTCACTTGTTTTTATTTTTCATTTTTTGTTTCTCACTTACCAACACATTTGTAAAATGTAACAGACTGTGTTAGCAACAGAGAGACAGGCAGAACGAGAGGAGCAGGACCAAAGCAGCCGCAGGTGGGAAGCCAGGTAGAAGAGGAAGTGCTTGGGGGCAGGGGTGGCGGGCACCATCCCGCCTTCCCATAAGGCATCAGCAACTGCTGCTGCTCTTCTGCTGCCCCAGATGATTTTATAACCACTGTAAAGATCCTATCTGTTGGCCCCAGTCCTCGTCCCCAACATTCTCCTCCTACCCCCACCCTGCCCCGAGACCAAACTCCATAGCCTCAGCCCCTGGCAGCGTCTGAGAAGCTTAGAGCTGGTGGGCTGCAGGGAGGGCAAGGCAGGGGCTCCCCCAGAGCTCTTTCTGAGGGGACCCCACTTCAGACCTTGGAGAGCACTCCCAAAACGCTCTCTGCTTCAGCCATAGGCTTTTACTCAGTAAGACATGAAGGAGATGCTGTGGGCATTGAAACATGGCAACCAAGAGGCCTGGAGTCCAGCGCCTCACCTCTGCCTCCAAGCGTGCTAGAACCCCTGGGCTATCCTGGAGGGAAGGTTTTACTCTGCCCCAGGGCAGGACTTCCTGGCACCTCCACCTTAACCCAGTGGGTGCTTTGCCCCCGTGTTATGAACACAAGCATTTTAATCAGAATGACATCCACCCTGATACATTTTCATTCCATAAAGTATTTCCAAGGCAAACGCCACTGAGGACAATTCAATGCCTTGATCAGTTTTCCATGTAGTGCAGATAACGTTGTTTCCTTCTTTTTTTTTTTTTTCCTTAAAACGATTTTCATCAGGATCAAATCCTTTTCACATAAGCTTTACCACCTATACTTGATTCACTGGTTAATGTTCAATGTTCACTCCATGTCAAATGTCACTACTTGTTCCTTCTGTCACTGGGAGTTTTCTTTTGTGGCTCTCAAATATAGCAAGTTCCAATTTTCCCAGGGAAACATTTGGCCGATCTTGATACTCAACAACACATTTTCACCGTGTGCTGTTTTAGCCACAATCACTTTTCCCTTGCTGGGTGTTTCTAGGGCTTGTGTTAATTTATGACTCTGTGGTACTTCTCAGTTAACCTGGGAGAAACATGGAAGCCGTTTCCTAACAATATTCCAGGGTTTCTCGAGAGACCACAAAATGGGGTCGAAACGTCCTACTATGCGCAGTGCTTCCTGAGCAGCGGCAGGGGGGGAAGAGGGCAGGCCCCCGCAGACTCTAAGCTCAGGGACCACCTCCATCCCAACCCTGGCTCCCACTCTGGCACCCCTATCCGAACCTTGACCTCTCATGCCCGGGAAGCTTGGCTCCCCGGGCTCCCCAGGCACCATCGGCGTACCCAGCCTCACGGCGCCTTGTCCGAGGGCGCGGCTATCACTGTGGCCTGCTCTGGGTGCGGTGGCGCAGGCGTGGCCGTGGGCCGCGAGCTACGGAGCAGGCCCAGGCCCCGTGAGCGGCCAGCACCATGCAGCTGGCGCTCGTGGCGGCGGATCTGCACCTTGTGGCGGAACCGCTCGCCGCAGTCTTCACAGACATAGGGCCGCTCGCCCGAGTGTGTGCGCCGATGACGCAGCAGGTTGGATGAGACACTGAAGCGCTTTCCGCAGTCGCTGCAGGCGTAGGGCCGCTCGCCCGTGTGCGTGCGCTGGTGCTGAACGAGTGCGGAGCTCTCGCTGAAGCGCTTGGAGCAGTAGGAGCAGGCGTAGGGCTTCTCGCCCGTATGGATGCGCTGGTGCGTCACGAGGTTCGAGTGCTGCGAGAAGCCCTTGCCGCACTCGCCGCAGCGGTGCGGCCGCTCCCCGGTGTGCGTGGCCTGGTGCCGCACCAGGTCCGTGCTGCGGCTGAAGCCCTTGCCACACTCACCGCAGATGGTGGGCCGGTCCCGTGCGCGCCGCCGCCGCCGCTGCCTGGCCGGCGTCAGGGCCGCGCTGCCTGCGGGGCCTGGGATAGCCACCACGGCCGGCGTGGCCACAGCGGGCAGCACCATGAGCTCCTGCAGTACCACGTAGCCTGGGGGTGCCACAACAACTGCGGCCGGAGCCCCCGGCCCTGCCGCCCCGCCACCCCCTGCGGCAGGCACCAGCTCCAGCTGCAACTCCGGCTGCACTGGCGTCAGCTCCAGCTGTACCTCCTGCTGCTGCGTACCCAGGTCTACCGGGGTCAGCTCCAGCTGCACCTCCTGCTGCTCCAGTTGCTGCTGCTGCTGCTCCAGCTGTTGTTCCAGTTGCTGCAGCTGCTCCTGCAGTTTGAGCTGCAGCTGCCGCTGCTCCTGCTGCCGCTCCAGCTCTTGCTGCCGCTGCTGCTCCAGCTCCTGCTCCGACCCCAGGTCCACTGGCATGAGCTCCAGCTCCACCTCTTCCTCCTCCTCTGGTTCCAGTGGACGGGGCTGCAGCTGCTGCTGTTGCTGTAACTGTTCCTGCTGCTGTTGCAACAGCTGTTGCTGTAACTGTTCCTGCTGCTGCTGCAACAGTTGCTGGTGCTGCAATAGTTGCTGCTGCTGCAGCTGTTGCTGTAGTTGTTCCTGCTGCTGTTGTTGTAACTGTTGCTGCTGTAACGGTTCCTGCTGCTGTAACAGTTTCTGTTGTTGCAACTGCTGCTGCTGTTGTAGCAGCTGTGGCTGTAACTGTTCCTGCTGTTGCTGCAACAGTTGTTGCTCTTGCTGCTGTTGCAGCAGTTTCTGCTGTTGCAACTGCTGCTGCTGCTGTTGTAACAGCTGCTGCTGTAACCGTACCTGCTGTTGTTGCAGCAGCTGCTGCTCTTGCTGTGACTGTAACTGTTCCTGCTGTTGTTGCAACAGCTGTAATAGTTTCTGCTGTTGCAGCTGCTGCTCTGGTTGTTGTTGTAGCAGTAACTGCTGCTGTAAGTGTACCTGCTGTTGTTGCAGTAGCTGCTGTTCTTGCACTTCCTGCTGCTGCTGTAAGTGTACCTGCTGCTGTTGCGGCAGCTGCTGTTCTTGCACTTGCTGCTGCTGCTGCTGTAACTGTACTTGCTGTTGTTGTGGTAGCTGCTGCTCTTGCACTTGCTGCTCCTGCAATAGTTCCTGCTGTTGCATGGATTGATGTTTTCCCTGCAGCTCCTGCTGTTGTTGAGGCAGCTGCTGTTGTTCATCTTGCTGTTGATGCTGCTGTTGCAATCCCGGCTGATGTCCTACTAGTTGGTTTTGGGGTTGCTGCTGTTGCAGCTGCTCTTGCTGTGGCCGTTGATGCAGCTCTGGCTGCTGCTCTAACTGCTGCAGTTGCAACTCCTGCTGTCCTGGCTGGGCTTCCTCCGTGACTTCACTGGCCCCCATCAGGGCTGAGACTGTTGGTTGTGGTGGGCTGCTGCTCCCCTCTTGAACCTCTTCTTCCTCCTGGCTCTCGCTCCCACCACTGCCACCTGTAGTGGAAATGGCAGGAAGCTGGGAGAGAAAGATCTACAGGCAGCTCTCTGGTCCAGACACCCAGAACCTCCCCCTGCCCCATGCACAGCCACTCAAGGATACACTAAGAGCTCCCAGCAGGGACCCCAAAGCACTAAATCAATGGGGCAGAAATGGAACTATCCCAAGAGGTGGGGTTGGCTTAGAAATGTACCCAGGGGACTGCTGGTCATCTGGTGCAGGACCCAGCTCCCCTGATGCCTCCTCTTGGCTTCCCTTCACCTGGACCCCATGCTCTTAGAGCTTGGCACTGACACCAGTTCAGGTGCTGGGGCTCCCCAACACCATTCCCTGAGAGTCCCAGGTTTTTAATTACCATCCAGTGGGAGTCAGTGAACCTGCCACTCCAAAGGCCAAACCATCAACCCTGTGCTGAACTCTGACCTCAGTTAAGGTCACACCTTAAGTGAAGGAAGCTCGCCTTCTCTGTAATAATAAAGAATTCCTGTAAAGTTGCCTGGAAGTGTGACCAGAAGCAGTTTCTTAAAGTCACCAATGTGTCACAGAGAACAGTAGACTTTGAATGGGAAGTTCTCAGTTCAGATCCCAACTACCACTTAGCAGCTGCCCAACCACATGCAGGCTCAGAGCACTATCTGCAAAACAGTTTCCTGATACCCATACCTTAAGCTTAGTGAGTTAACCATGCAGGGCCCTGGCATACTCCCTGGAACCTGGTCCAAACCAAACCTGTTGCCATTAAGTCAATTCCTACTCATAGCGACCCTACAGGACGGAGTAGAACTGCCCCGTAGGGTTTCCAAGGAGCTCCTGGTGGATTCGAACTGCCAACCTTCTGGTTAGCAGCCAAGCTCTTAACCACCGTGCCACGCTTGAAAAATCCTTCTCCCTGCAGGTTAGGAATTAGTTTACAAACTAACAAACAGTTTGGAAATACCAAGTATACAACTAACTCCATTTGAAACAACCTAAAGACTGTCAGTGTTTTGGGTGGTTATTCTGGGACAGAAAGGGCTAACTCACAGCCCCAAGACAACACAGTGACTGGCCAATTACTTAACCTCTGGGAACCTCCATTTCCCCATTTGCAAAAGGAGAAACTGTTTTCAGGGATGTTGTGAGAATCAGAGAGGAAAACGTGCAGCCCCAGAGCTGTACAAGGCACGGAGTAAGTTCTGGATGAATAAGAGTTACCTAAATTGTTATGTTTGACTTTCTGCACCATGTCCACAGTCAGTTTCTTAATTTGAGCACTGTTATTTGTGTTATCCAATCCCTAGGTGGTACAGTTTGCAATCGGCTGCTAACCTAAAGGTTGGTCATTCAAACCCACCCAGCGGTGCCACAGAGGAAAGGCCTGGTTATCTGATTCTATAAAGATTACAGCCAAGAAAACCCTATGGAGCAGTCCTACTCAGTAACACATGGGGTCGCCATGAGTCAGAATCGACTTGACAGCAATGGGTTTATTGTGTTGAGGGGGAAGGGGGCCTGGTAGTTCAGTGGTAGAATTCTCACCTTCCATGCAGGAGACCCGGGCTCGATTCCCAGCCAATGCACCTTATGTACAGCCACCGCCCCGTCTGTCAGTGGCTTGTGTGTTGCTATGATGTTAAAACAGGTTTCAGCAAAGCTTCCAGACTAAGACGGACTAGGAAGAAAGACCTGGTGATCTACCTCTAAAAATCAGTCAGTGAAAACCCTGTGGATCACAATGGTGTGATCCGCAAACGATTATGGGGATGGTACACGACCAGGCAGCATTTCATTCCATCGTACGTTGGGTCGCCATGAATGGGAGGCCGACTCGACAGCCGCTAACAACACTGTGTGATCAGAAAATCATAATTCTTCTTTAAGTGCATGATCCTAAGAGGCCTTCTCCATTCCTGAGTCTGATTTGAACAGCTGTTCTTCCTACAGCATTGTATTTTCAATTTTGTCATGGAAAGCAATGAAAGCAATGGTTTAATTTATAAAATTTTGCTTTATAGCCACTTTTCCAGTAATAGACTGATTTAATAAAACCAAAGGAAATACACATGTATATTATTCCCTTTTAGAAAAATATTCCTGAAAACCTTGGCTTAGGCTAAAGTATCTGTAGATGTATTTCTCGTCTACACTCATAGCAGCTGGGGGTACACAGGCGGCGGATGGGGAGAGCCGTGAATACCTAACCCCCCAACAAGTCCAGTGTTTCATAGATACTCCCTTCTGCCACCTCTTCTGGGAGCAACAGGGATGGATCACGCTGCTGTCTGAGTCGCTGCTTTTCTCGAAAAGTCCTTCGCTGTATGGTCGCCAGCCACTCCTGACTCCCTGCAGCAGCAATTTACTTCAGCATGTTTAACACAGTTGTTTTAGCAGATGTATGACCAGCTGGTGTCTGGTGCATATACCTTTATAAGACTTTGTCAGTCAGACTTACAAACCAAAAGATTCCTTGTTTAGTCCTCATGTCCCATCTGACCCCTCTAATTCCCTTGGTTCTTCTCAAGCTCTGTTCAGCCCTGCCTCAGCCCTTGCTTCACCCCCCCTTAAGCACAGAGTGGAAAATCATCTCCCACCAGCGACGACACCACAGAAGGATTGGCCTAAAAGCTCTGGTTTGCCTGGAGCAGATCTCAGGGGCAGAAAGGGGTCTTGGAAGTTCTGCAGGGCCTCATTTGCCCCTGGGCTTCAAGAAGTAGACAGGAGCAGAAAAGAAGGTCAAGGAAGAGTAGGCAAGGTCAGAGGTCACAGAGGAAAAGAGAAGCTTCTGAGTCAGTGTCTGAGGTGTGACGGCAGAGAAATTATGTCTGGGGACTCATTCCTGGAGGACAGTGGGAGGATGCTGGAGGCCACCTGACAGCTAGGGAAACAAAGCCAGCAGGTCCCAGTCAGTATACATCCCGGGGTAGGTGATGTGGGGCTGCGAATGTCAGCACTACCAGGGAGCCCCTCACAGCAACATCTCAGCCTTGCAGAGCTGCCTCAGAAAATCCTGAGGCAAACCTGGCAGTGTTACTAAGGTAGCTGAACTCCACTGGCGGGAGCAGGTACGGCCCTGCAACCACCCAAGCAGTACCCTTCCAGACTGGAAGCTTCTACCACCCTTCATCCCCTCTCTCTGCCACAAGCGGGCCTGGGGCTCTGCCAAAGGGCCCCCATTGGGGCCCTAGGACCATGTCCTGATTCCAGAGGCCCCTCCAGCCCCTCACCTGAGAGGGTGTCAGGCCCTGGGCCCCCATCCTGGAGGCACCGCAGCTCCAGCACAAAGGCGTCGGTCGCCGGCCCTAGCTCCATCCTGGCGGTCAGACCCGGGTCCCAGGGAGCCAGCTGTGCTGAGAGGAAGAAAGGAAACTGTTCAGATGGGGCAGGAATGGCACCCACCACACAGAGCCCACTAACTCTGCGCCAGGTCCATCCCAGAGTGGACAGCTCCCCCTCTGCTGCAAAAGCTGGACAGCGAAATCCACATCAGGAAGGATGGAGTGAGGGAGGCAGGTGGCTGGAGGCTCAGGGCCACTGGACCTCATTTCCCTGCTCAGAAGGAGTCCTTCCTCGCCTCACTTTTGGTGGTCTCACCATTCAGCCCCAAGCAGGAGGAAGGATGTCAGCAAGTGAAGAGCTGAAGTCACAGAAGAAAGAGTTTGGGGAACTGTGCGACAAAAGGAAGGCTTGTCCATGTCGCGTTCCCCCTGCCCCCTGCAAAGTACCAGCAGTTCTGTGCACCTCCCTGGCCGCCTGCCTCCCACACTGCTCTGGGGGCTTGCCCAGCTGCCAAGGCCACCAAGCAGCCACAGGTCCCCAGCCGTAAGTGTCCAGACACCAGTCCAGCTCCTTGGGAATGCAGGGAGTTCCAGAGACGTACAATCCAAGGAAACTAGCTGTGGGCTGGTGGGCCCTCGGCCCGGTGTCTCTTAAGGATTCTCCTTCCCACACTCTTCTGCACACCTGCGTCCACCCTGGCCCCTCAGCGCTGTCGCCAAGTCCAGTCCTCCCCTCGCCACCAACCCCTCTAGCCTTTCAGAGTCTAGTTCAAAGCCTCATAGGAGGCGCGATCCCGGTAACCCAGCCCTGCCGACCCCTGGGCCTCACCTGGTACAGCATGTCCTGTTCCTCGCAGCAGCCTCTGCTCCGGGAAGGTGTGGTCTGCAACGGCTGGAAGGTGAAGGCCAAGGCACTCAGCCAGCTCCTGACTGAGGGGCCTCCATCCGGAAAGAGCCGGGGAGGCGCTGGGCCAGCCAGGGCCTTTCTGGGCACTGCGCAGGGTGTGCGCCGCAGGGCCGCCAGGGTCGCCCTGGGCCAAAAGAGGGGCGGATGGAGTTGGACAAGGGGCCTGTCCCGAAGAAGTTGCTGGAGACTCTT